ATAAATGTATTCTAGTAGACCTCAACAATGGAATTATGATCAGTAGAAATGGCCATGACATCGGACCTTTAAATAATCATTATTTCTCCAATACCAAAATAAATAGGACTCACTTTCGCAGTCTGTTTTTTTTCCTAATATTACTTTAATCAAACTGAGACTTTAAAGATCCAAGTTAAAAGAGAAATAACATCACTTTTAGAGACTAACGTTTGTTAGAATAAGAGCTGTGGATTAATGTCGTTTTTGTGTCTCAAGGTTACAGCAATCTTCCCTTCAGATGGTTTGAGTATCTGAAGGAGAGCAAGTCTTTGGCGGCTCCCGTCAACCTCTTCAACAAGGTAAGCCTCTGCAAACGAAAATGGCTCCTGTATCTCAAGTGTAAGGATTTTTGTGGTTATGTCTTAAATTGTTACGGAAGCAAAAACCCAAACCCATATTTTGCGGTTGTGAAATTATTATTATAATAATTATAGTTCACCTTTTCAGGCAAAACAATAATAAATATTCAACATATATAACTCTTTTTTTTTTTAAGATTACTTTATTTGATTTTATCTTCTCTTTTTATTTTATTTTTTTCATTATTGAGGTTTTCTGTCTCTATATTTCCTAAATTATAAATGTTTGAATCTTGTTATTTTTTTGTTTTTTTTGTTTTGTTGTTTTCTATTGTCATTTATTGCAAAAAAATACATTTCAGTTTTGAGTTTCAAATATTTTTGATATTGATGATATGATATGATGATTACAATTATAATATTACCATGAAAAGTACAAATAATACAAATCATATGAATAAAAAGTAATGACAAAAATGAAAAATAATAATAACATTTTTGATAATATTTCCTTTTATGTAGTTGTATGAATAACTTCTGATGTGTGTCCTCCGCCCTGCCCTCATAGGAAGTCCCTAACCACAGATTCTGCCCCGGCATGAAGCTGGAGGCCGTGGACCTCATGGAGCCGCGGCTTGTCTGCGTCGCCACGGTGACACGCATTGTCCACCGGTTGCTACGGATACACTTTGATGGCTGGGAGGATGAGTACGATCAGTGGGTGGACTGCGAGTCACCTGACCTGTACCCGGTGGGGTGGTGTCAGCTGACCGGATACCAGCTGCAGCCGCCTGCTGTCACTGCGGGTAACTCATACTGTCTGAGAAAAAACATCAACAGATATGTCTGCGCATAGCAAGAAAATCATGCGATTAATCATGATTAAAAATGTTAATCGATGCCCGGAACATATATTTACATATATTAGATTTGGTAGTAGTGGTCCTAAGATTGATCCCTGTAGAACACCACACATGACTTCTCCTGGATCTGATCTGGTGCCATTAATATCTAAAAACTTAATTTAATGATATTAAGTTAGACTAAAAAACGTCAACATATGTGTTTTGAAGTATAATCGTTATTTAGGAAAATGTCAGTTTTTGTACGTTACAATGTTGTTGAGTTATTTGTAAAAGTTAGATCATACAAGTTTGAAACGAGTCTACGCAGCCATCACTGAAATCCTATTCTACCTAATTTACAACAGTTATAATATTAGCCTCTGTTTTCAGGCTCCAGAGAACTGCAGTCAGCATCCAAACAGAGGAAGAAGTCTCAGCAGTATAAGGGACAGAAGAAAAGTACGTAAACACTGGACACACACTGAAGCAAACATGTTCATAGTTGGATACTTTTTTAGGGCCCGAGCACGGAGCGCTAGGACCCGACGGCGTTCTAGCACGAAGTGCGAGGAACCTATTGTTATTGGTGGTATTATTATTATAGTGCTGGCGTTTCCTCTTTTTGAGGTCTTTAGGATGCTTCAAAAGTTGTATAATTTTGCACGGACGCCAGGACCGGTGGAAAATCCAATATTCTGGAGTCAATGGGTTAAATATTCCAACCTGCTCACTAGCGCCACCTATCAAAATCCCATTTCGGAATACATTTACAAAGTCGCACCGTAACTCCGAATGACCTGAAATGTTGCACACATATCCGGGTGGACCTGCTCTACAAATAATCCTCTTGGAACCCTAAGCTCCGCCAACATTTTTTTAATTTAAATTAGTATAATGTTCAAAACAGTTAAATATTCAATTAATTTCAATTTTCAGTTTTTCAACACCAAACTTCGTATACAGTATCGTTGGAGGGTCAGACACATTACCGTAGAAAATGAGCATGTTAGGACGATAAATATTGCCGCCGTCAATCAAAACGTACTCGCAAAAAGGCGGGGCTTAGAAAGAAATGCTCATAACTCATCAACAATGTATCCAAACAACACAGATTTCGGTAAATAGGTTCAGACTGTCTTGGGGAATAGCTTGGTTTCAGTCACGTGACTTCTATGACGCGCACAATTCAAGTGGAGGTCAGGAAGTGAAAACGCAATCATTCATCAACGCAGGAATCATGGAGGACACCGACTATGTCAAACAATTAAATGAACCTGCACGCCGCAGATATCGTGAAAAAATCACAACACACTCACAATGGTAAGAGCACCAGACATTAGATCACATGCCAATGTGTTTTGGGTAAATGGTCAAATGTAACTAGTATTTAAGGGTAACAGTTACAAGAGATGGCTAAGCTAATGTTGGTAGCCAGCTAGCTTATAGACTTCTCCATCCTGCTTAAACTTAGCAAATATTCAATGAAAAACATATTTTAAGTTTGGGGTTGCAAGTAACTTCAATCTCACAACTCTAAAAGTTTCAATATATTCAATGTTGTAGTTAATTATACAAAACATTTCATTGTGATGGTAGCCGGGGCATAGCTGCAATGCTAAATACTTAACTTACTTAG